TCGCTTGATGCCCTTCGAGTCCCCGTGTCCTCTGCAGTTCATTTCCTCCTGTCGCATGGGGGCTTTTGCCACTCCCTGCTACTTCCACGATTTTTACCATATCAACATGCCACCCGTGCTATTACTTATTTACTATTTGTCTTTACATACATTTTTAATCTAAGTAGAAGTATTTGTAAAGGAAACTCTGTTTCATGACCTTCAATGCAAAACCATTTAGAGAAGATGATTTTAAAAATAAATGCAGTGGAAATAGAACAGATTATTATTTGTAAAGTTCGGCCTCTTCCTGCTGCCTCCCAGAGGCCCTGAGCCTGGGACCTGCCCTCCGTTTGCCGGGTCCCAGGGACTCGCCGGAGCCGGAGCGGAGCCGCACTGAGCCTGCGTCTCTAACACGAGCAGAAGGAGGGAGGGAGCACCAAGTCCCGCATCCCCTTTGGGCGGCACCCCGCGCCTGGCACGCCCTGGGTCTCCGGGGCCAGGATTCTGTTCTGGCCGATGATGAATCCTAAGATGGATGAAGAAATTGACCTACGGCATTGCCTCTTAAGTAATCGAACTCACTGATAGCACAAGTCTGTGGATTCACTGTTTATAGACAATTCAATTAGGCTTTATCAGCTAATTGTACCCGAGCATTCTATTTTTCCGTCGCATAAAGACACCTAAAAGCACTGCCCCGTGTTCCTCTTCACGCCTTTTGCCTTCTCCCATTCGTGATTCATCGCCAGGTCCTTTTCCATTTCGGCATCTTGAGTGTCATAAAAAGCGCTAAGTATCCCTTGTTCGTCTTCGACGGCTCAGCGTCGGTGTGCATGTCAGCGCCTCCGCCCCTGGGGAGCACCCCGATGCCTCTTACTTCCGCCCCTGGCCCTGCCCACCCTCTCCGCTGCACTTTCTCTCTGCTGCCCAAGCTTCTGCCTCCGAGTCCTGCCCCGGGCGCGCACAGAATGCCCGCAGAGCCCCCTGCTCAGGGAGGCCATACTCCCCGGGCCCAAGAATCCACCGAGATGGGGCCACTGAGAACGCCTGCTGAAATGCAGCTCCTCCTCTCCCCGCTCACCCCTGCCCCCTCGGCCCCGCCTCAGGTCCAGTGGGCATCCCGGAAGCCTGTGTTTGGGATGGGTGCTAAGACATTTCTGATGGCGCATATCCTCTGGACCCCTCGGTGAGGGTGGCAGTGATTCTCCTCTTTCTCGTCTCCTTTTCTTTTCTTCTCCCTCCTTCCCCTCCTCCTCATTCTGGAACATAAGTAATTGTAAGTCTATTTCATCAACTGTTCATATTAAACTTCGTCACAAAGCACTTCCCACCACACCGATGATACCCACATTTCCCAGGAATTCTGGACTTCTGGAGTCAGAATGCCTGATACCTGGGTCCCCACTACGCGTCGACCGGTCCTTCCCCTGTGTTGACCTGCTTCCTCCCCTACAACTGACACAGACTCTGCTCCTTCCATGCGGATCTGTGTTAAAAGATTGACTGTGGAGAAAGGTACAAGGGCGCCTTGTGAATTGTAGAGGATTTTCCAGAGACTATTAAAACAAGAAACCGCATTCTAAAAAGTCACTTGTTAAAATATTGTAGATTTTTTTTTAATGATGTTTTGCACCAGGGATTTGGGCAGCCCTGCCAATGTTTCTGATCGAGCATATGTTTGAGGACAGGCAGGTGTTATCTCGCCACATTTTAAGTCGTGGCATCTCAACCCCTCCCTATCCTATTCTGTCCTACCCAGACTCATTCAACAGCTTTGCAGTGTGATTTCAGATTCAGAAATTGAGGTCTTTCAGATTCTTTAATACAAATTCAAAAATTATACTCCCTAAGTTGGCAGCAAAACCTCTTCCCTCCATACAGAACATAAAGTATCAGACACTAACAATAGAATATTAAAAGCCAAATTTGAAGCAATTACCCACAGCTTTGGGGAACAGTGCCACACGCAGCTGGTGCCCCGTCAGAAGGTCCGCACCTGTCACCCACCATCTCTGCTACTCGAGACCATCAGCAGAACAGAGCTGCAAAGGGTCCTGTAGATGACCCTCCTCCCCGTTCAGTGAGCAGGGAAGGGGAGACGTAGGAAGGGCCTGGTCACCGATGCATGCACAGGCGGAGCCTGCAGCCACTAGCGCCAAGGCCCCTGTCCCCTGGCTTTCTGCAGACACTGCTGGGTTCGGAGGTGACATTGCAGTTGGAAGTGAAAGGGGCTCCCTGAGTGCTAAAGCACATGCACTGAGTGAGCCTCCTGCACTGAAAGGGGGTCTCTTTGGGTGCAGCCTGCTGCCCCATACATTTGTATCTTGAAGGAAGACCTAAAAGGCAGATGACATGATACTGCTGTTAGCAAGCCTGACGCCGCCAGCCTGCACCCAAGATTGCCCTGTCAGCATCCCTTTGGCCCTGCTGAGAGGCGGCTGGTGCGAGTCCTCGGCAGTCAGAGGCTGAGCCGTTGCTCTCCCTTCTCCACGACTCTTTTCTCTGGCAAACGCTGTATCCATGTAGCCGGGATAAAAAGGTGTGTCCCCAGTCATCCAACGGCGGTTCCACAATGATCTCAGTGCCCGCCTGAACCTTTGGGAGGAGTGTCTGAGAGAACCAGTGCGACCTCTTGGAGACACCCCAAAGAACCTCCCCAGCCGCCCTGGGGCTTTCCGCGCACCCAGCCCCAGGGCCCTCTTGGGCCCGCCCAGCCTCCCCAGGCTCCGCCCCCTTCATGCGCCCCGCCTCCTCTCTGACTAAGCCCCCTCCCAGCTTGCTTCCTGCTTTGGTAGGGCTTTTATTTTCTCCCTTTCAGCCTAGTCTCCCCAGTTCTGCATCACAGAAAGTACACGTGCCGCTTGGCAAAGATTCTCCCTTAGAGGGCAGGAGGGATTGGCAGGGGGGACCCCTCCTGGGTTACCCGCCCGGCGCACTGTGTCTCAGGAAAGGAAGGAGGCTCACCGCACCGTGGGCTTCCCACAGGTGCAGTAGGTGTGGTGTGCACCCCTGTGCACATTCTGTTCCCCCTGGGGTCTGTCCTACAGGGCCGGGGAACGCCAGAGACGCCAGCACCCGAACTCCCGACTCAGCCGGGGCAGTTCTCAAGATGACCAGTGACATCATATCAAGACCATTGGTATATATCACAGACCTTGGTATCAAAATGATCTAAATGTAAGATTTGATCCTGCTATTTACGAACTGAGTAAACTAGGGCATATTATTTAAACTCTCTGAAACTCAGTTTCCCTGTCTATTAAATGAGTATAAAATACACAAATTAATGCATATGACACACTTAGCCTAGTGCCTGGCACACAGATGCTGCCCTAATGGGTGTTTTATTATTGTTAATTATGATAATAATAAAATACACAGTGAATTAGTCAGTGAGAAATGAAAAACCCTTTCTTTCTATTCATTCTTTTTTTTTACCCTTCATAGATATGTTCAATGAACAAGACATAAAAATGTTGGCTGGCAGAGTATATAAAGACATGAGGTTGCATCTTGAGTTCATCTAGAAAGCATATACTTGAAAATGGCATGTGGACAGTCTGAAAGAGGGGCAGTATAACCAAGGATGTATCAAACTATGTTGAGAGCAAGTAGCAAACCCAGAAATAGTTAGATCTCAGTATTTAGGGGAGGAATCTTGCATAGTCTGCTGCAATCAGAATAGTCTCCAACTGGAAAGAAGAGACCATTATGGAGAGAAAGTTTGTGTCCAGGATTGATGAAAACTTTTAACAGCCAAGATGTATTATATCAGGGGACTTGTTGATAAGACCTCTGGTGCTCTTTTAAGGACTGGAAAAACAATGGCAGCCTGGAGAGCAGTTATATCAGCCCAATTCTTGAAGAAAGACTCCAGAAAGTAGAGACTCATAGCTTGAAGTAGACCTTACCAAAATTCTAAGACAGTTATTAAACAAATGATTTGTAAGCAAGAGTCAATGTTGTTTCATTAAAAAAAATAATTCATGCCAATTAATTTCATTGTCTGTTAGGACAGACCTACTGCCTGGCAGAGGCACCTCGGACTGTGGGTAGGTCCGTCCGCAGGTACGCCGAGGGTTACCTGTTTGCTAGGAAGGCAGGTGGTGTGGTGAACCGCAATTCTCTCTGTTTTAGCCCTGTTCTGCACAAAAGTTTGTTTGTTTTTCATCTTGACCGAAGACCCAAAAGGCAGATGATACTAAACTGAAAGATTTAGGCAGAATAGATTTTCTGATCTTCCTGTGTGCTTGTAAAATCCTCAAAGTCTCGTTTGAATTGGTGCCGAGGAATCCTATCTGGAATGTTGAAATGATGATTATGTAGAATGATCTCCATTGACTAAAATGATACCAAACCAATAACAATGAATTTTAACTGAGACAAATGTCCTATATTTTGGACATTAAATAAATGTGGACAATTAAACATGCAATAAAATAAATTGCACCAAGGACAAAAAGGTACAAGTTGGCAACAAGCTCAGTAGAGCCCACCAGCACAGGACCGTGGGCAGGAAGGGACTCGGTGTGGGCCTCATCCACAGAGTGACCTGGACTGGTGATACGTGTGGGATACGCCAGGCTCACTGTGCGGGTCTGTGCTCTCTCCTGGTACCGCATGTCCAGAGAGATGATCATAGTAAGGGTTGTGTTCAGAGGACGGTGCCCACTATGGGCAACAATCTGGAAACAGTAATGAACTATTACAGAAAATGGGAATGTGGAGCCTGGAGAAAAGGAAATTTGGAGGATACAGTTAGTGGAGGGAAAGATTTTAAGTGGGCCTGGAGGGCACAGTATAGTTCCACTGGGTTAAAGTTGTAGGAAGGCAGATTTTATCTAAACATTCATAAGTTGTTTCTAAAAACTGAAGCTGTCCCCCAATAATGTTTCATGGCCAGTCACTGGCAATTCTTAAGAAGGGGGAGTTCCTGCACTGGGTGGGGGGCTCTTACACGAGATCGTCTGTGACGCCCATCCCAACTCTGAGGTTCTGTGATCTTCTCCCCTCTCCAGGGATGCGGTGGAGTGCAGTGGCCCGTGGGACAGTCAGTGCTGCCCTCCGGCAAGTCCTTTGGTGGCTGCTCATTCCAGCGGCACCTAGGCCCCTGGGCAGTGACTCAGAAGACGGCCATCCCTCTGAGAGGGGGCCAGGTCCTAAGCTGCTGTGCGTCGTGGCTGCATCTGGTGTCCCCTCACCCGAGCGTCCTGCCCATCAGGGCAGGACCCAGGCTCAGGGCTTCTCCAGGATTCCAACAGGCGACGTTCGAGGGAGTTGGGGGGCTAGAAGGCGCCCTGTTCACGGGGGGCTCTCCTCCAGAGACCCCCCCGTGAAGGGCTCTCCTCATTTCCCAGCACGCCCTCTTCCTGGCGTCCCGCCCTGGCCTCGCACTCTCTGTTGTCCCCAGTGTCTCCTGTTCTTCTGCCCGATTTGTCTCACTCCTGTTACGAGCACAGCCGCTCACTGTGTCCTACCTCAGCCAGACTTGTCCCCAACTGCGCCTTCTCTGCTGTGTCCACTCACAGCCCTTGTGCCTGTCTTGGTCAGAGTCGTGTACCAAAAGCACATATTTCCTGCTTGTTCATGCCCATGGCAGCCATGCCCACACCGCCCACCATGTGCCCTCTGTCCTGCGCTGTGCCAGACGCTGACACTGACATGCTCTCTCCCCGGCATCCGGCGCTGCGCGGGCGTCCTCCTGGCCAGGCCCGGGCCGGCTGCAGGCCGCCACTCGCTCTTCCTCACGCACAGGGCTGGTCTGCCTTCAGGACGCACTCCATTTACTCACCGTGAAGAAACAAGGGCAAAGATCTGCCAGAGGGAAGCAGTCTTTGCACTGACCTCAGAGGGAGGCGGAAGACAGGCAGCTCCCCCCGGGTGCCATGGCCTCGGCCTTCTGCTCTGAGCTGCTCACTTTCTTGAGGGGCTGGAATGGGGCATCTTTTCCTAAAGAGCCTTCCGCAAGGCCGGCAGCATAGCGTGTTCAGAGACTTTGGAATCTCTCCCAGGAGCCTGTGGGGCAGCCGTGGTACCAGTGTACAGCCCTTGAATCTGACCTTGCTGCTCCCAAAGGAGAAAACTGCTGGAAGCTCACACCACAGAGTCGGTCATCGGCTGCCGTCCCCCTGACAGGGGGCAGGGCAACAGTGCGGGTGGCAGGGAAACAGCACTTGACTTGGAGTCAGGGGACCCGAACTCCAGGCCCGCCTCTGCTCCCAACAGGCTGTGAGGTCTTGCCCAGGCCCTTCCACCCCTGGACTCACTTTCTACACCTGCCAACTGCAGCTCGGACGAGAGGATCTCTAGAATTCCCGACCCTTCCTGGGACACAGGATGCCACGACAGCCTTCAGCTACGCCGGGAAGCCACGGGCTGCCTGCCTCTTGAAGGAACGACCCTCCTCACGTGGGCCTCCGAGTCCCTTGACCCTGCCGGCTTTGCCCTCAGGTGGGCCTGGATGGCATGCATGCAGAGCTGAGTTCATGGCTTCTGCCAGCTGCCCGAGACGGAAGGCCCGGGGGAGTCGGCCGTGGCCCAGAGCCCTGTGAGGTGTTCACTGGATCGCGGCTGTGATTGTTTCTGCTGCTTATGGAGTGTCAGTCATCATTTCCATTGATGTTTACATTAGTTCTGGAATTGAACTAGACAAGAGATTTTGGAATGAAGAAGAGAAGATTGCCCAAAACCATCCAAATGCCAAAAAAAAAAAATCTCTGTCCTATGAAATCTTAATTTTATTGGAGAGAGAGTCATGCCTTAGGGAAGGGAAAAGACCTCCAAAGAGAAATGCTCTTCAGAACTCCTGAGTGCTGTTGAGAAATACGGCACCACGTGAAAATGTCCCCTGTGCAGGCTGAGACCCACTGAGCCGCGGGGTAGGTTCCACTGGGGAATCTATTCTTGTCGAATGTCAAGAACGTCCATGTAAGTCCTGACTTGCTCCCTGACTCTGGACTGATCCCCTTTGCTTTTCCAAGTCACCGTTCCTCTGCCGTCACAGACTGGGGCTTAGGAGGCAGGCACATTGCGAGGACAGTCCTTGCTAACACCAAAGAGGGAGCAGCCAGGCGCTGAGTCCCAGGCCCTGGACCTGGCGGTGAGCCCCGAACTGTCTGCTCCACCTGCCGCGCCCAGCGCCCACCAGCTGCGAGCGTGCAGGAGAGAGGGACGTGGCAGCGAAGCAGAAGGCTGCCGAATGCACTGCTCACTTACTGTGTCTCCCTGGACCACAGCTGGACTTCTCTGGCCTCTGAGAGAATCTCCTGCCTACTTCACAAAGCTGTTGTGGAGATAAATTAGACTGTTTTTGCGAAAACATCCTGTAAATCATAAAATGCCTTTTTAAGTTTATTGTTACTTTGGATGGGTTCGGATGCCCCCGACCTCCAGGGACTGAGAACCTCTTTGCCGAGGGCTGAATCCGACGAGAACGGGCTTCCTGTATTGAACACCAGTGCCGAGGAAGCGCCTTGGGGGTCCATTCTGCCCAGTCTGCCCCACCTCGTTTCGCGGCTCCGGGCGGCCCAGCGCAGACCAGCATCACAGATTCGTACGTCACAAACGGTCTCAATCGAAGGGATCTCGTTTTCGAAGTAAAGGAATGGATGGAAGGTGTCGGCGGCCCTGGGCTGATTGCTGTAAGAGTGAGCCTAGCTTTTCATGTAAATTCAAAGTCACAAGGAACAAATGCAAGTGCTTTTTGCCAAAAACATTATTGGCAGAAAAAAAGACCTTGGTCATTAAAATTATCTTGTAAACTCTCTCCCTCTCTCTCTCTCTTTATATATATATAATGGGAAAAAAATAAAAAACACGGATTAGATAATGAATCACCAGCTGACAAGAATGTTACATAGTCTGTAAAATACTGACCCTGATAACTTTGAGATTTTCCCTTTGAGATTTTTCCTAATTTGATAATCTATGTAAATAATTATTAATTATGGTTTAATGTTATTTAGCCAACACCTTAATTTTATTTACACTGCTAATAAAGCAGAATTGCTAGTGGGGCCACCAGTATAGTTTACAATGCACTGAGTTCCCTGGTATGATCAGCTAGAAAGTTCATGTGTGCCCGTTAGATGGAACGTGGAACTCACATAATGTCAAAGGGTCATACATGTTAATGATGGTCGTAGCATTGGTTTTATGAGATCATTAGTCATGCTTCTGGTTTGATGGTATCAGGGTCCCCAGTTGTGATTTGTTCCTTAGGAAAGTGTCTGTGGCTTCGAGGACCTACTTTTTGATGGAGCTCCCAGGACTGTGTCCTGGGAGCAGCAGGAGCTTATGGAGTCTTTGTTTTGTAATTGATAAATTCTATTTATTGATAAACATTGATAAGCAACATGTATGTTTATATTTGTGCATTCTGTACATGTTTATATAAATTAAAAATTTATATAGATCTTAAGTCTTAAGACTAATGACTGAATTTTGAATACACAATAAAATGCCAAAGTCTGTCCCATGCCTCGGTTATGTGGCGTTTCTCTGTGACCTCTGGAGCCCTCAAAAGCTCAGGGAGTTTGAAGCTGGAGAATTTTCTGTCTTCAGTATCAGGTCCTCCACCAGGTGAAGCCAGAAGCTGGGACCCCTGGGAAATGTGACCACACCTGTCATCTGCCGCCTTCATTGGGGCCTCACATGCTGGGACAGTGCAAGAGCCGAGGGTGGGGACGGGTCCGGACGGCCACCCCGAAGAGCCATTCAAGGCAGCGTGGTGGCCGGATACCCAGAGGGCTTGAGTGAGGGTCGCTGAGCGCACGCCTCCTTGCTGAAGCCGAGTGTCACGGGCCCCTCGGAGCCTGGAGTCCCCTCTCTCGCCCTGGAGCCCCTGGAATGTACGGCTGAGAGCGCATGTCAGTGAAACCCAGGCCCGTCTCTTCTGGGTGTGGGCAATGGAGAGACCCCCCTCGACAGCTGGCAGCAGGGCACCCATCCAGATCTCCCGTTTAACCCTGGGAGCTCCATCATCTCACATATGATGTGCAGGGGGTGGACAAGAATTTAGTCTTAAAATCAGAATCCTTCTTTTTACACAAATTGACCAGGAGCCCCTCTGCATGAAGGTCGAAGTAAGATGGGGACAGGTAGATGTGGACCCTCCATCTCTGCTCAATATCACCCATCCCAGGAAAGAGCCTTTGTGGGTTTTTCCCAAGGGTTTTGAGCCTAAAGCCCTCAGCAGCTGGACCGGGCGTTCTCCTCTCAAAGTCCATGATGGTGCCTGGTTTTCCCCCATCCTTGGTTTTTCTGAAGCATCATAAGACTCATGAGAGCTGTTTCTCCAGACGCCTTCCCTCAGAACCACACCCATCCACTTACCTGCAAAACCGTTTCCTCTGTGCCAAAAATGCCCGTCTCCTGAAACTGTCACCCCAGAATGGAAACCTGAGCGCTCGCCGCCCGGGAAGTGCCCGCCGCACGGGCAGAGAGCCCAGCCTCAGAAACCCGCCTCGCTGAGCCTGGGGCGACGGCTCTCTTTCTGGCTTTTCTGTCCAGATGGTCTTCTTTGCTTTGGGGCAGCGGTTCTCTGGGCCCATGCAAGGCAGGGAATCACCATGGATTTGGTGCTCGCTATGTACTAGGTGGGTTCAAAGCAACAGATTTTTTTGAACACCTACCATGATGGGCAGGCGCTGTTGCCAGAGGTGCATCAGTGAATAATACTGACAAGATCTCCGCGCTCCCATCAGGAGCCAGAAAACAAACAAGGTGCTGTGTACATATTAGACAAGTTTACTCAAAAGTGCTACAGAGGTGGGGCAGGGGTGTGCGTGTCACCTAGGGTGCTCCGGGAGAGCTTCCAGGAGGGGGTCAGCCCTGTGACTTGAGATGAGGGTGCTGAAGAAGAGTCAGTCATGGGTCACTCTGGGGGGATGTGACGTCAGGCAAAGGGAGCCCAGATGCAAAGACTCGGGCACAGGAATGAGCTTGGCACATGCGGCTGGGGCTCGGTGGATGAGGGGGCCGTGGTGGGAGGTGGGGTCAGAGGTGAGGGAAAGCGGCTGGTACTTCAGTAGCTTTACACCCCATCCATCAGTTACTTGCTACGTGGAGGCTTGGTTGGAAGAACTTTGTATGAAACCTTACAAGGTAAGCATCATTTTCCCATCGCATAGACGACACTGAGCTGCATGTCAGAGAAGCGGACCTGGAATTTTCCCAAGAATGCGGAGATGACCTGGAGCTGGAGTGGATCCCAGATCCTGCCAAGCAGAGCCTTTGTCCCCCAGGCACTCGCTGGGGGGAGGCCCCTTCTCTTTAGCAGCAAGAACCATCTTGGAAACAGATGAGCTCCCTTCTCCTCCTGCACACCTTTCACTGTTTGCTCCCTTCTTTCTCTGCGGAGCGTTGGTGGTCTAAACAAATAAAGTCGCATTTATGCAGCGGTTCTTCATTGATTTTAAATAAGCTAATTCCAAGTAGCATCTAATTAGCAGTGAGAACCAATTCTTGACCAGCGAGAATGTGGTTTCCTCTTAAAACTATTCATTTTATCAGAAATAAGAGGAAATTCAATCTGGTTACATAATCATCCGATTTTTTTTCCCCCCATGCATTCCTTATCTCCACCCTTCTACAAGTGATGTCATCTTCATCTGCACTGGGGCAGAAGGCTCTAAAACACAAGTTGAGCATGCCGTTTTCCTGACCAAAACTCAAGGATTCCTCATTGCCTACCAAATGCTGGGTTTTCCATAGTTTTCTTACATCTACTGTTCACAGTGTTTACCTCCAGTTATTCCTCGTTGTTGCTGCAAAACACACCATATGCCTCGTGTCTCACTGGCTTCCTCTTTGCATCTCACTCTTTCCACTGGGCGCACACCTCCCGACATCTCTCACCTGGGCCACCTCAGATGCTCCCTTACACTTGACGTCTTCCCACCACCAGGACAGCATGAGGTTTGGACCCATTCAAATCCCTCTGGTCCTTATTTGTTCTTTTTCTGTTACGTTCTACTATGCTTTTCAGTGTGGTTCACTGACGTGTCCATTCTGAGCTTCCTACCAGATTTTGAGCTCCCTGACAACTGAGGACAGTTCTTATTGATCATCTTTTTTTTTTTATTCTCATGCCCAACATTGGTTTTTATGCACTAGAGCTGGTCAGTAAGTTCACTGAATTTACTTGCTTGGAAGAATTTGGCGGTGTCATGGTTCACAGCGTCCGTACCGCACTATCCCACTCGCCGCCTCCGGACCCCCCCGCTGAGCTGCCTTCTTGTGCTCCACCCACCGCAAAAGCTGCGGCCTTCTGATAAGAGGAATATCTTTCTGTGACATCTTAGAGAAAATCAAAATGTTTATCATATTTCTAGCAAATAGCAAAAGGATTAGAGTTTCGACATACCATTATTTTCCTGATAGATGGCAAATTTTTTTTTTCCTTTTTGGTTCATATCTGTCTATTGAAAAAGCACTTAAGCTTAAAGTTTTGTATTTATAACATTCAGTGGTGAACCTGAACGCAGTTGTGTGAGTTTCTTGACATTGTACGATCCTAGAGAACGTTGGGTACCAGTTCCAATAATGGCGTTTATGGAGACAGCACAGAGCATGGAGTGGATGGTGGGCAGACCAGGCCAGGGATGCGGGATGGACAGTGAGAGCTGCTGAGGTGTGACATAGCATTCCACGCGCTGTCAGAAAGCAGGGCACTGCCCCCAGCATCCCAACTAACTGGTGGTGTGACTGTGCTCATAAAAAAAGGACAGGTGTCTCTGTTCCCTTTGGGCTTAAGTCGTGCCATCTATGAAGTGAGAAACATTTTGTGGTTAAGAGCCTGGGCTTCACTATTCTAGGGACATAGGTTCAGATTCAGGCTCTACCTGTTACTGACCATGCTTGACTCTGAGCAAGTTCCTGATCGGGGAGCCTCAGTTTCTCTTTAGATGACAACAGCGCATCCCCGGAGGGTCACTGCGAGGTCTCAGTGGATGGAAGCTCATCAACGGGGGCGCGTCGGCCCTGGCGTGTGGTCGGCGCCCCCTGAAGTGGGACTTACTGTTATCACTCTGTGCTCCGTGACATTTGAAACTCCAAAGCCACATGTGGAGACATGGAAAGGGTGTTGAGAAGCCAAAGCTGGAGGAGCAGGCGGTGTGACCCAGAAGGGCAGGCCATGAGAGCCGTTCAGAAGGCGGAGACGGTCGGGCGCCGGTCATGGACTCCGAGGAGGTGCACGTGCCAAGATGTGCGGGGACGGGGTGGCCGTCACCCAGGGCCTCGTGAAGGAGCGCCAGGGACGCCTGCTTCTTCTCTGGTCCCTGGGTCTCCTGAGCCTCAGTCACGCTTCGCCATCTGAGAGGATGGAGGACACTACTTTACTGGGTGCTTAAGACGTGTATCAGCACTACCTTGACACTCTACATGTCTTGCAGCATTTAATCCTCAAAAACATTGACTGGATTGAATCCTAGCCACTCAACTTGCGTGCTGTGTTTCCTTGGGCACATTAACAAACTTCTCTGAGGCTCAGTTTCTTCGGAAGTAAAATAGAGGTGTTAATGCTACTTGACTTATGATGTTGTGTGATTTAAATAAAATTATGTATATGATTGCAATTAGAACAGCACCAGGCAGATAATTGGTAGTTTTTATCATTTTGTATTGTCATTTCGTGTAGTACCTTCCATTTTATGGATGAGTAAAATGAGGACACTAGTTTCTGAACCAAGGTCATGTGAGTAATAACGAGCAGAGCCGGGCTGCACACCCAGGTCAGCCTGTCTTGAGAATCTATATTCTGTTTTAAAAGGTGAGAGACAAAAGCAGTGCCATCAAATTTTGAAGAGGAGACTTTTCCTCTGAAATTAGAGGACATTTTGTAACATGTGAGTATCCTGGTAGCTTAGATGGATGGTCCTTTAAATTGGTCTGGAGCCTTGGATGAAAGGTCAGATATTATCTGTGTTTTTAAGAAACTTGTTTGCAATCAGATAATATAATTCCAGTTGAGCCTGTCTCAGTATTGAATGGCATCAGGGGGTCGCATCACTTCACTCCAGCCACGGTCCCCTGAATCAGCACAGCAGCCATCAGTATGGGGTCTGTCAACAGGGCCCAAATGGGGCCCATGTGCCACAGCTTGGTGATGGAATTCCTGGCCACAGGCTGCCTCCCACCCCCTGCCCCACGTCCTTTCTCCACAGCCTTATACAGTCTCTCTGCATCATCCTCAAGAACTTGCCGAGAAGGAGGCTGTGAGTCATCCGTTACTAAGGCTTTGTGAAAGGCAAGTTGGGCCAGCATCATTTCAAGCAAAAAGCTCCGGCCGAGCTAAGACATCACTTCTGGTGGGACCTCTTGTCCCAGCCAGAGAGTGGGCGGTGGGTCAGGGGGATGTGAGTCAGTGGACGGAACCAGGAAAGAGCAGTCTTATCAGGATCCCCCTTATTACTGCAT